GTTATAATTACTACCCATTTTGTTCATATTGTCCTTCCAAGGTAATGAAACTTCATAACGATTGGTTTTATATTCAATAGTTTCTTCAAATCTACGCATAACTTCAGTGTCATTTTCATTTGTTGAATAGTCATGTATTCCAATTGCATCTAAATCCCATAGCCTTTTTAGAGCTGCACTAATTTCCAAATCATGTGGATGTGAAGTATTCTCAACAACATTCATTACCGTAATTCCGGAACGAAGTGTAGAAACATTACTTAATGCTTCAGTTCCACTTATAGTGTAACCAAATAAGGTTTCAGAGGCAACAAGACCCTTTGATAATCTTTTAACCTTCCCAGTGACTATTTTCCAGTAATAATCATTACCAATTAATACTGATATTTGAGAGTTATGGACACCTATATCTGTAGCATCAGCAAGTCTTATCGAATTTTCCTTACAATAATTAAGTATTTCCTTTCCTGGCATACCAATAACAGCTTGATTAATTTCTGGAGTTTCAAGAGCTTCAATTATTATTTTCCCAGGTCCACATATATCTTTAAGAATAACCTTAACCTTTTTAGCCTTTTAACTGTAGGCTCAGTAGAGCCGAAGGTGTAAATCTGAAGTTCTTCCACCCACAACACTTAATTTTAATTATTTTGATACTTCTGTCAGAATGAAAGATTTATGAGAAGCAGAATCGAAAATGAGTCTTAAATTTTTTCTTCTATTCTGACCTAAAGCTATTGCATTTGCAGTTTGTAAATAAACCCTATTTTTGTTATCTCTTTCCGAAATTGACGTGTCTGTTTTACATGCAAATTTACTTTTTTTTATTTAATGTTCATTTCACTAAACAATATGCATCAGCTATAAATTGTAAATGTTGACTGTTTAGGTTCTTGTTACCCCTATCAAAAAGCGCTTCTAATTATTATTATTTATGAACAAAACAATGAGCCGTAAAGATAACCAAATAAGTATTTTTTACCAATTCACAATATCTTGAATAAGTTGGTGACATTTTGGGAGTGAAGATAATTAGAAAGTTATCATGGTGTTTATTGTAAAAGGATTATTTTGGTGAAGTTTCAAATTTACTTATTTTTATTAACTAAATAATCCGTTTATTTAATATTTTTAAGAATATTTCATAAAGGAAGTTTTATCTTTATTTGCTTACAAAAGAATTAATTTCTATTATTTATGCAGAATGTTTTTTAAAAATAAGTTCAACTATATATGTAAGCTTAATAAAAGCTCTTCTTACTCATGTTTCAGGCCTTTTATTTATACTTTTATACAGATTTAAAATGACATATCCTTCTGTGCAAATGCTGTATATATCAAAGAATTTATTTTTTCAAAATATATTTAGAAGTCCTTCAGTTGCTATATGTTTAAAGCTACAAAATGCAGATAGATTTTCCCAGTTCTATTTCTAGACCTTAAACAGCAATACTTGAGGTTTTTGTTCTTTCTTTCATGCAAAATAGGGATGTATTCAAGTTTTCTTAAAAAGTTCTCTGCAAAGGCATACCTTTACATATTCATAGCTAGTTTTAATTTGCTGTTTGTCATATTTAAATAAGCTAACCCTATTTTTATTAAAATAAAACTTGAAATTTATGCACCCAGTCCTGTTTTTCGTGAAAGGAAAACATTAAAAAATATACAATGCATGTGGAAAGAATAAAGACTGATTCCAGATATGAAAATTTAGCACAAGTAATATGTTGTTACCAAATAAATAAAGTCATTTTTAAATGAAACATTTATTTGCAATCATATTTAATTTTTGTCATTAAATATTTATTTATTAAGCTTTATAAAACTTTAGAACATCTAAGTGCTTATAACTTAGAACACAAAATGTGAGATCACTGTAATAACACTGAAGTTTATTCTCTGTAATTCCAAAGTGCCACTTTATTATGAAAGAAATAAGCTTTGCACAGTGTTTTCATAGACATTGTCTGGTATTGAGTGAAAAATTTTTGCTACCCTTTCCAGCCATCAATTTAAATTTATTTCACTACATGCTGTAAACAAAGTAGGTGAATGAAAGATTTTTGAATAATCAAATGAATGAATTTTTGTTGATTTTATATAGAACAAGGTAATAAAAACCTTGTTAAACAGTTACATAAGTTTATTGAAAATGCAACACTAAGAAAGGTGTGGCTGAAAATAATGTAAATTTAAAGGTAACGCACGTCACTGAGTTATGCGAATGATGTGAAATGAACAGCTCAACAGTGCACATTGAAGAAGATATAAGGGAAGGAACTTGCAGAATGTTCAAATTTTCATGCCATTATTTCTGCTAGGGAAATCATTGTATAAAATTTGTTCTTGCCTCAGAGGACACGTGTAATAGCATAGAATGCCAGGTCGTCGTCAACAGAGGCAAATCCAGCAGACAGATGATCTTACGAGAGTGGCACGGTGATCGGACTGAGAAGTGAAGGTTGGTTCATATGGCAATTTTCAGCTCACACATACTTGGACTAATCCACAGTACACTGGTTATGGCGACGATGGTTGGAACTAAAAAATGTGGCAAGTCCAAAGGGTGCCAGAGTGATGCCAGCATGCATGGATCGCCGCATCTGCCGACATGCGGTGGCTGCACCCGTAAACCACTTCTACCTCTATTCTGCAGCATGTTTCAAGGCTCTCTGGATGTTCCCATTTGACTAGAACCATTTGCTGTCGATTGGTGGCTAATGGCCTGCACTTGTGGCGTCTGTCGCGACAGGGTTCGTACTGTCCTTAAGTTTTTGTCCTTAAGTCGATTTTTGGTCCTTAAAAGCCTTTAATTTCAACCAAATTGGGCAGGAGGTCCATAATTTTAATCATCTGAAATTTGTGTCTGTTTTTATTTTGAATATGAATTAACATTTTGGACTAATATTTTTGGCGATTCAAATATAATTATCTTTTGAATGGGTGAATAGGTTCATGGAATAAGTTATTCCTATTTTTAATCTAAATGGTGGGATACTCAAGTTTCTGAGCAAGAAGTGAAACATAAGCATTTTGAAATTATTTCTTTTTTTCTAATGAAGAGCTTTTCAACAACTTTCAGTTTTGGGAATGTGAATTCTTTATTAAACGGTTTCAAATTTGGCAACTTATCAACATTTTGGCAATTTTAAGATCAGTTTCTATAGAAAGTTTTTAATTCAGGAATCTGGGAATTTTTCAACGATTTTTTTTTTTTTTTTTTTTTTTTTTTTTTTTTTTTTTTTTTGAAACATTATAGCATTGATCAGTTTCATTAAAATAATGCTAAAATATTTAAATTGTTTATTCAAGAAATAATATTAAAATGAAACATTTTTATTTGTCGCTATCATATTATAAAGTGGCATTGCTTTTCATTTTGGCGACATGGAATATTTTGAATTTAAAAAATAAAAAAGGTAATAAATGCTTAAATTGTGCTTTAGTACAATTTATGAAACAATTTGCAGCAGAAGCAAAACAGCTATGTAATTAATTAAAAATGCCTTATTAAAATTTTTTCCTGGTAAGGGATTTTCTCATGTAATTCTCTCAATATGCATCAGTTTTCTCTATAAAATTAATTTTACTCTTTTTTTCCTCTGATTTTTTTCAACATATTTCTTGCTTTTTGCTGTTACAGAATTGGTAAGGGTAATTTTTCTGTAAGATTTTAGACATTGCAACTTGAAAAGTTTAGAAGGATTTGAAGGCAAGATTTATAGACCCAAAAATCTAAAAGATCCCAGAAAAATGTCTGCATGGTATTAACACATAATGGATTTATTTTACAGAAAGTTTGTGATGAACTTTTACTTTTTGGAGAATTTCCAGAAGAACAATGAAAACTAAATGGTGATAATATTTGAATTTTTTACTACTAGAAGTCTTTTTCTTAACATGTTTATCTTCCCTTTGTTTCTCTACTTTTCACTAGACACAAGCATGGAAAATATTAAAAATGCTTCTAATCATATCACATGGACAGTCATTTATAGAAATGAATTTTTCTATTAATAAAGAAATAGAAAACTGACAATTAAATATATTCATCTTTTATATCTCAATGCATCATCAGTGATGGAGCAAGGGGGGACATTTGTTCCCCAGCGCAGCATCCATGGGGGTGCCAAATTGATGTTACAAAATTTTAGAATTAATTGTTTTTCATTCTTAGCATACAGAAGGGGGGAACAAAATCTTCAGTTGTCCCTAGGTGCTGAATAGCTACGGCTCTGTTCATCGTACGCAGGGCTGGCGCTATGCATTTACCCCCTGATGCAATCTCTGTGGATTCTAAATTCTGCTGCCTAGTGCCTTCCTAAATTCTAAAGTTATGCCATTTCTAGATTTAATTGCTTGCTGTGTTGTATGGACTTAATTTAATCTAACCAATTATTTTTAATTTGCCCTTCCTGTCCCTCCTGATTTCAGTTTCCACCCGGAATATAAATTTTGTAATGATGTAATATTCAAATTTAGATTGATTTCAGAAGCATTATATAAGCTGCATTTCAAGAGTTAAAGAAAGGTAGTAGGCAGGGTCATTTCTAGTGGGTTGCAGTGTGTAAAAGTACATGAGCAGCGAAAATCAGGGGCAGCCGAACTCTCGCGATACCACGCTTAAATATTTTAAATTCATTTTAAGTACTTTTTATACAATTTATCATATGTAAGTACTTAGTGAGTTTGAAATAAAAATTTTATTAATCACTGGGCATTTTTTAAAATTTGGGGTGGTGGTCTTAGGAAAATACGCGGGCAGCCAACGAACGGCCTTGGTAGTAGCAGACTTAGTTCCGGGTTTATGCTTTGTGTTTAAAATTAGATCTCGAGTTGGTGTTCGACACCTTTCGGTTTATACTAATATTTTTCGGCTCGGCTTTGCTGTGTGCAGTCGATTTAGTGTTATTTAAACTAAGGAGCCAGTCGTTAGTTATGTCAAAAATTTAATGTGCATTTACATTTTTATTTTCCATTAATTTAAATAGCCACAAGTGGTGGCGAATTGTGATCACCAAGTGCGTGCATATATTCATTTTAGTTTAAACTAAAAGGTTATTTTAAACCTCTGCTGCAATAATTTTTCTTCAGACATAGTGAGAATTCTCTATTTTGTCTTTGATGTAAAGTTCAAGTTGTGTATGTTATCAAAGAATACACATAGAATCTAAAGTGTCACTAAATTCTGAAAATTCTGCTTACCAACCCTTACCATATATCATTTCATATTTATTCTGAATGTTGATATTACTAAAGAAATAAAATGAGAACCTTTCCTATGCATTCTAAATGCATTTAGCTTTTTAGAATAACAGAAATCTTTAATTAAATCCAAAAATTCTAAAATGAAGAAGAAATGTATTGAAGAAAGAAGCTGAGTACATAAAGAGAAAAATTATTCTTCAAATATATGCACAGTTATTATTGTATAAATTAAGCAGTTGTTTATAATTTTAGCCTTTGCTATAATTTTCCCTTTCCGTTTCCTCACCAGAATGAAAATCACTTACATTTTAAATTAAGGTTTTGGGGTTGTTTAATGTTTGGAAAGGCTTCAAATTAAAAAGATGCACAAATATTTTCTTGAGTATTGTTGCTATGAAACGTAAATATTGTAGCTTTTAATGTTTAGTTATTGTAATATCATGTAAGAATCAATGCCTTAAATTACATGTATTTTAAATTGTGACATATTAATAGATTGGGATTTTAATAGTGCTTTTTAACAAATATTTTTAAAAAATAAATTTGTAGAGTTTTCCACTTTGATTCTGCTAAATTAAAGGTTGAGTAACCTTCAGCGAATTATTGCTTAGTTCAAAGAACAGAAACCGTAAACTCAAAAAGGGTTAATTATCCTTTATTTCAAAGAAAGAAAGGGTCCAGTGTTCATCTTATTTCAATCAAAATAAGATGAATACTGGACCCTTTTCTTCGGGCTTGCCACAAAGCCTCCACTCGGCCTTGAAATCAAAATAAGAACTAACTATAATTAACCAAGAGATTTAGCCAAAGCTAGCACAATTGTAACATAGTTGGCCTTTACTTTTAAACTAACTGCTGTCTTCTTTAATGAATGATGTTGATTATGATTTTACTTCTCATTTTAACCCATTCCATTTGACATAAAATCTACCAGCTATTTACTAAACCTCCAAACCGAGCAAGTATAGGACAAAATGAGACATAAAAAAAAATCAACATAAATTTAACTGTTAGTAAAATGTAAATAAAATGTCAATCTTCTTTCAAATATGTCCAGCTATTATAAGGGTAAAATATTTAATGCTAGATAAATTTCATAAAGTTTACTTTATTCTCAAATTTTTTTTATAATTATGTTTCTTAAATTATGTGGAATAATAATGTATTCTACTTGTGAATCTATTTTATTCTTAGGATGGTATCTCTGTTTACAAATGAAGTTCAGACATAGCTAATATCTTTAATTGAATTTATTCAGTTCTCTTTGTTGGTGGGTTCTTAATATTTTTCATTAATGATCCATAAAAGTCCTTAATTTCCATGTGCAGAAATGTGTACAAACCCTGTAAAAAGACTGCCATTGATCCCACATCATGGACACAATGCAATGCAATGCAATGCAATGGTGCCAGGCTCGAGCGATATGGACAATGGAATGGCACAGGGTCGTGTTCTCAGATGAGTCACACTTCTGTTTCTCGAATGATAGTCACCAAGTATGAGTGTGGCGTCGATGTAGAGACAGGTCCAATCCGGCAGCAAGTGTGGAATGCCCCACTGTGCAACAACACTGCATCGTGATTTGGGATGCAATTGCATACGATTCAGGTCACTTTTAGTTTGTATTCAGGGCACTATGATGGCGCAACAATACGTGGACAATCTGTGGATGATGTGCTGCCAATGGTGACACTCTCCTATCTTCAAAAAGTGCCCAATGCTCTTTATCAGCAGGATAACGGCCAACCACACACCATTCACATCAGCCAACGTGCTCTACAAGGTGGACAGATGTTTCCATGACCACTATACTCTCCTGATCTCTCTCCAAACTAACACATTTGAGATGTGATTCAATGCCATTTGCAAACGCTGCCATTGCTGCTTTCAGAAGCCAAACTGTTGCAAAACGTTGACAGGGAATGGAAAGTCATTCCTCAGGACATCATACGTAGTCTCATTGACTTTGTACCTAGATGTGTTGCTTTGTGTATCATTGTCCAAGGTGGTCTTACAACCTGCTGAGTCGACGCTGTTCTCGCTGTGTATTAATGCATATCATTTTGAAATAAAGATCACTTATTGTTCGTTGCTGTCTCTCTGTTTGCCGAGTTTCATCACTTTCAGGCAACTCCTTCTTGGTGTTGCATTCTCAGTGTTGGGTAATGTAATTGACATTAAGCTGCCATTTTTACTGTCAATATAAATTTGAACAAATTTTTCTTTATTATAAATATTTTTTTAGAAGTGCTTTTTAAACAAAGTTAGGGAAGAGACACTATGGCTTTAGGTAAAATATCTGATTTCCTTTTACATAGAAAAGAAGTTGGATAATTTTTCTAAACTGTTTTAAGTCAGAATCATGTTAAAAAATGGTCATGTAGCAGAACAGAACTATTTTAGTAATATTTAAATTCATTTCAATTCAGATAGATTTCTGAAGACACTGAAATAGTTTCGCAAGTTGCTGATAACTCTGAAATTTAAATCTCGGACCTTTCAGTTTGCTAATTTGATACACTAAAGAACACATCATAAGGGCAGGCATTTACATTCTGCAGATATAAATATTAAACCTGTTGCTTGTAATCTGAAACAGATTTTTCAAGGAAAAAATTAGCTTAATTTTTGTATTAAAATAGCATTGCGTTATCTGTTCTGTGATGTTTGAATAATTTTAAAAAATAATAGCTTTGACAATCTGTGCTATTTTGCAGGGCGAAACAAAATTTCTGAAGCTATCTCACCTACATCGTAAGTTTTTTTTTTTTTTTTTTTTTTTTTTTTTAAATCTACTACCTTGAAAATGATTGTGGCAATTGCAATATAATTGCTTTTCAGTTAAAGTTAATTTCTATTTTTCAGTTCTCGTGAAAATCCTATTTTTTCCAAGTTTTTTAGTGTAAGTATATGAATTTCTTATGAAATTCTAATTTTTAATTTCTTTAGTGCAAATTAATTATATGTATATAAAAATTAAAAATATTTATATTATATTTTTCATATATATATAAATAATATCAATCTTCTTATTATTTAGTATTATTTTGTAATATACACAAATTTAAGAATTTTTATTTTTAGGTTATAAAAAGTGCAATTATCTTTACCTGTTATACATATAATATTATTGAATGTATAGGATGTTTTTATTTATACATGACATAAGTATTAATTTGTTTTCAGTATTTGTAAGAATATTGTTTTATTTTTCAAGTTAAAATACCAAAACTCTTCTATTGTAATCATTTTCAGATTATTATATAATAGCTGTATCATAGCTTTTCAAATATCATATTCATTTACATGTGTTATTATAATTTTTATGCATCTCTTTGAATATCTTCAGCTCAGATAAGCATCTATAGACTGTTGGCCATTAAAATTTCTACACCATAAAGGAAAGAAAATATCTAGTAGAATAATGTTTATTTTATAAATGTAAAGATGAAATAATTAAAATTTCTGGTAATTTGAGGTACAGAACATGCAAAAGTTAGTAAGCCTCTAACACCAATAGAAGATGTTATAGTGTAAGAGTCGGACTCGTTAGGATAGACACATATTGAATAGACTCTGGAAGATACAGAAGTTCATGTGGCTTTAATGCTATACCAGAAGTAATCTGTCATACTACCTAGCAGGTAGTATTGTTCCAGTCTCCTTGAAACTATTGACCAAATGTTTTTAAATAGGGAGAGATCTGTAGGATCTGACAAAGGCATTTTCTTTGTACGGCGGGGCAGTATAATGTGGAGTGTGGCAGTATACATTCTCAAATTGTCCTTTTGAAATGTGAAAAGAGACAGAAGCTCCAGAGACATTAGGACATCACTAATGCAACAATAGCTTGTCAAAGTATTGGGTAACATCTGTTCTATCATTCATAAAACTCAGTATAGTAACTGGTAGAGCATTTGCACAAGAAACAACGAATTTTACACTATACTGCATGATTTTTTTTATTCCTGTACAAAAGCTTAAATACAGTCAAAAGTCTTTAATCCGGACTCGTCGGGACATCCGCAATTCCGGATTATCGATTTTTCCGGGTTGTAGATCATCAGTTTAAATCTGGTAAGATGCCATGCAGAAATTATAAAATTAAAAATATGAAACCGTAATTTATGAAATAAAAAACAATTGTGATCTAAAGGGTATCAAAATTTACTAAAAAAAAGCTTAATATTTATTTGTTTACTTTATTAAACATTTCTTTCAATGTAAGTTGTTTAAGTTGCTTCGTTTTTTGTGCTACTACATTCTCTTTAATTCCATAAACAGACATAATGTCTTGTTCAGTTCCACTGTTCAAGTCCTGTAATTGCTGTGTCGAGAATACCGACTAACTTGTCAATCGAAATTTTTTCATTTTCAATAACCTCTGTGTCACTTTTTTCACTATCGGAAGCGAATTATAATGACGAGGAATTTGATTTAATTCAGTTCTCGTGAAAATCCTATTTTTTCCAAGTTTTTTAGTGTAAGTATATGAATTTCTTATGAAATTCTAATTTTTAATTTCTTTAGTGCAAATTAATTATATGTAAATAAAAATTAAAATATTTATATTATATTTTTCATATATATATAAATAATATCAATCTTCTTATTATTTAGTATTATTTTGTAATATACACAAATTTAAGAATTTTTATTTTTAGGTTATAAAAAGTGCAATTATCTTTACCTGTTATACATATAATATTATTGAATGTATAGGTTGTTTTTATTTATACATGACATAAGTATTAATTTGTTTTCAGTATTTGTAAGAATATTGTTTTATTTTTCAAGTTAAAATACCAAAACTCTTCTATTGTAATCATTTTCAGATTATTATATAATAGCTGTATCATAATATCATATTCATTTACATGTGTTATTATAATTTTTATGCATCTCTTTGAATATCTTCAGCTCAGATAAGCATCTATAGACTGTTGGCCGTTAAAATTTCTACACCATAAAGGAAAGAAAATATCTAGTAGAATAATGTTTATTTTATAAATGTAAAGATGAAATAATTAAAATTTCTGGTAATTTGAGGTACAGAACATGCAAAAGTTAGTAAGCCTCTAACACCAATAGAAGATGTTATAGTGTAAGAGTCGGACTCGTTAGGATAGACACATATTGAATAGACTCTGGAAGATACAGAAGTTCATGTGGCTTTAATGCTATACCAGAAGTAATCTGTCATACTACCTAGCAGGTAGTATTGTTCCAGTCTCCTTGAAACTATTGACCAAATGTTTTTAAATAGGGAGAGATCTGTAGGATCTGACAAAGGCATTTTCTTTGTACGGCGGGGCAGTATAATGTGGAGTGTGGCAGTATACATTCTCAAATTGTCCTTTTGAAATGTGAAAGAGACAGAAGCTCCAGAGACATTAGGACATCACTAATGCAACAATAGCTTGTCAAAGTATTGGGTAACATCTGTTCTATCATTCATAAAACTCAGTATAGTAACTGGTAGAGCATTTGCACAAGAAACAACGAATTTTACACTATACTGCATGATTTTTTTTATTCCTGTACAAAAGCTTAAATACAGTCAAAAGTCTTTAATCCGGACTCGTCGGGACATCCGCAATTCCGGATTATCGATTTTTCCGGGTTTGTAGATCATCAGTTTAAAAAAATCTGTAAGATGCCATGCAGAAATTATAAAATTAAAAATATGAAACCGTAATTTATGAAATAAAAAACAATTGTGATCTAAAGGGTATCAAAATTTACTAAAAAAAAAGCTTAATATTTATTTGTTTACTTTATTAAACATTTCTTTCAATGTAAGTTGTTTAAGTTGCTTCGTTTTTTGTGCTACTACATTCTCTTTAATTCCATAAACAGACATAATTTCTTGTTCAGTTCCACTGTTCAAGTCCTGTAATTGCTGTGTCGAGAATACCGACTAACTTGTCAATCGAAATTTTTTCATTTTCAATAACCTCTGTGTCACTTTTTTCACTATCGGAAGCGAATTATAATGACGAGGAATTTGATTTAAATCATATCAAAGCCGGAGTACATCGAGATGAAATACTACATTTAGTAAGGAATTATAAGCCAAATAAAATAAAAATCTGCTCTGAAGATAAGCATAGTGCTGACAGATCAACTTCCAATTTATTGCGCGCCGCGACGTTTCCCCCTCCCCCGCAGAGTAGTGTGAAATTGATAAACAGATTTTGGAATGGTTAGAGAAACAAAGGATATGCCTTTATCCATTTTTTGCACTAATTCCACTTTTTGTTTGATGGACATTGAAGCATACTTTCGCTTTGTAGATCCTTTGGCAGCTCCAGCATCAGAAATTCTATTTGACATAATCGAAAGTTCAAGCTTACTTTTATAAAATTGCTCTAACAGTCTGCAAAAAATAATAAGATTAAGGAACAATGCAATCTGCAACATTAACTGAAATAGATAATTAGATAATTTTAGTTTAGCTTACACCGTCCGTTATACGTTAAGCGCGCATGCGTAAACGTATTATGCGCACACACATAAAAGTATTATGCACATGCGTAAACGCCTATACGCATGCGTGAACGCATTATGCGTTGACGCATGCGCAGAAAGTTTGTAGCTTTGAGGTATGGATTATAGATCATTCCGGATTATGGGTGTCCGAATTAACGACTTTTGACTGTACTTGAAAAAAAAATCTGTTTGAAGTATTTATTGATTTGGGCATAAGATTTTTCATTTCTGTTGAATATTATAGAAGTGCATTACCAAATACAGTGTAAATTAACCAGTTAAAAAGTCATTTTCCTTGACTTCTTAATAAGTGCTTTTTAAAAATTAAGGAAAAAACACAAAAATAGCGGTAGTTCATTAAAAAATAAGTCAATCCGTATAAAATTTGAATATTCTATCAAGTAAGTGTTGCTGTCTGCAAATTATTGGCAGTGTAGTCAGAATACGATTTCTGCGAGGAGCATAAAATTGCATGTTTGAGAACAAGCCTGCAAATTTTGCTGTGATACTAAAACAAGAAATCTGGGATAGCCAATTCATAACAATGACTTTCAGGCATTATTTGCCTGAAGAACTGCAATGGAGAGCTATTGGGATACTAGAGGCAGGGCAAAGTCAAACAGAAGTGGCCACATGGCAAAATATAAGTCCTTATGTGGTTCATAGACTTTAGCAACAATTTCTAACAACAGATTCCGCATCCAGAAGGTTCAGCCAAAGACGACCAATCGTTACAATGAGTGCTGATGACCGATATTTGTGGTTATGCACATAAAGAAACCTCAATTCAATAATAAATTGCAGCTACTGGAAGGTTGATGTCAATGTCAGCTGTCTATAGAAGGCTTCACAAAGGAGATCTCTATGGGAGACCACCAGCCATTTGCATGCTGCTCACATCGTATTATAAAAGGGAACATTTGAGTTGGGCACGCCAACATGTCCACTTGACACCTAATCAATGGAGAGCTGTTTTCTTTACAGATAAGTTCAGGTTTAACCTCCAAAGTGATAGTAGATGTTATTTGATTTAGAGAAAACCTGGAATATGTTTATCATCCATCAAATATCCATGAAAGAGATGCATGCAGAGGAGGCATTTCTGTATTTGGTGTGATATATCTTTGGGTGGATGCACAGACCATCATGTGTTTCTATGTAGAACTTTGAATGCTGAGTGCTACAGAAATGACATCCTTGATGCTTATATGCATCCTTGTGCTGAACAATAAGTGATAATATCCTGCTACAGGAAAACAACGCTGGACCTCACAAGGCTGATATCGGAGATAATTTGAAAAGTTAAAATGTTCTTAATGCCAACTAAAATACCACTAGCATTACGCCTAGTTAGTTTCAAGTAAAAACCAGGGAAGTTGTATTTAGTTAAATCAATGTACAGTCAAAAGTCGTTAATTTGGACACCCATAATCCGGACCTCAAAGCTACAAACATTCTGCGCATGTGTCGCGACGCATGCGGTTGCAGATTGACGCATGCATGTTGCAGATTGATGCATGCATGTTGCAGATTGCGTTGTTCCTTAATCTTCGAATTGGATCCGGCTTATTAATTTTTGCAGACTGTTAGAGCAATTTTATAAAAGTAAGCTTGAACTTTCGATTATTCATATAGCATTTCCGATGCTGGAGCTGCCAAAGGACCTACAAAGCGAAAGTATGTTTCAATGTCCATCAAACAAAAAGTGGAGTGGAATTGGTGCAAAAAATAGAAAAAGGCATATCCATTGTTTCTCTAACCATTCCAAAATCTGTTTATCAATTTCACGCTGCTCTGCGGGGGGGGACGCCGCGGCGCGCAATGAATTGGAAGTTGATCTGTCAGCACTATCCTTATCTTCAGGGCAGATGTTTTTATTTTATTTGGCTTATAATTCCTTACTAAATGTAGTATTTCATCTCGATGTACTCCGTCTTTGATATGATTTAAATCAAATTCCTCGTCATTATAATTCATTTCCGATAGTGAAGAAAGGGACACAGAGGTGATTGAAAACGAAAAAATTTCGATTGACAAATTGGTCGGTATTCTCAACACAGCAATTATAGGACTTGAACAGCGGAACTTTGTAACTGAACAAGAAATTATGTCTGTTTATAGAATTAAAGAGAAAGTATTATCACATAAAACGAAGCATTTTAAACAACTTACATTGAAAGAAATGTTTAATAAAGTATACAAATAAATATTAAGCTTTTTTTTTTGTAAATTTTGATACCCTTATCATAATTGTTCTTTTATTTCATAAATTACGGTTTCATATTTATAATTTTATAATTTCTGCATGGCATCTTACCAGATTTAAACTGATGATCTATAATCCGGAAAAATCGATAATCCATAATCGCCGAAGTCTCGACAAGTCCAGATTAACGACTTTTAACTGTATTAGAGTTTTGCTTTTATTATCATAAAAACAATGTCATGTGACCCTAACATAATCTGGAGTTGTGTTCATTTTTCCTGATAAATTCCACTGGCATTCCGTTGGAGAATTTTCAATCATTGAATTTCCTTAAAAAAGAAAATTTGTATTATTTTTGAAGTCATCACCAAAGAAAGAAGACGAGAGGTTGGCAAAGCTCTAGCAAATTTAACGTCATCCAGGTTTCCTATTTATTATCATTCTTGTGTAACACTCAATTTAATGTAACAGTCTTTAATTTCTAATTTTGTTGCACATAATATGCCAAAAGAATTTCCTCAAAAATAATTTCTGAATTTTCTAATGCAGTCAAAAGTTTTTAATCTGGAATGATCCGGACCTCAAAGCTACAAACTTTGTGCGCATGCACATAATACCTTTACGCATGCACATATGCATTTATGCATGTGCATAATACCTTTACGCATGCTCTTTTAATGTATAAAGGACGGTATAAGCTAAGCTAAAATTATCTAATTATCTATTTCAGTTAATGTTGCAGATTGCATTATTCCTTAATCTTCAAATTGGATCCAGCTTATTATTTTTTGCAGACTGTTAGAGCAATTTTATAAAAGTAAGCTTGAACTTTCAATTATGTCAAAAAGAATTTCCGATTCTGGAGCTGCCAAAGGATCCACAAAGCGAAAGCATGTTTCGATGTCCTTCAAACAAAAAGTGGAATTGCTGCAAAAAATGGATAAAGGCATGAGGAAAGTGACAGAGAGGTTAGTAAAAACGAAAAATTTCAATTGAGAAGTTAGTCAGTATTCTCTGCACAGCAATTACAGACTTGAACAGCGGAATTTTGTTACTGAACAAGAAATTATGTCTGTTTATAGAATTAAAGAGAAAGTATTAGCACATAAAACGAAGCAACTTAAACAACTTGCATTAAAAGAAATGTTTAGTAAAGTAAACAAATAAATATTAGGCCTTTTTTTTTTGTAAACTTATGATCTATAATCCGGAATCACTGAAGTCCTGACGAGTCCAGATTAAAGACATTTGACTGTACTAAAAATAAGTTATTAATATTCTCATGCAATTTCATTACTTGTATATTAATATTGAGTCATAATCTAATAATCTACTAATAAATTACTTAAACTGGAAATATTTTTCATTCTTAATTTATGCAAATAATGTTATAAATTGGTTATGTAGCATTACTGAATTTTGTCACTTTTTCTAGAACATGAATTATATAAGATTCTGTGAGTAAGATCTACAATTTGAATAAATTTATAATGAACAATATTTTTCTTAACAATTTGCATAGTAAGGCTCATCACTTAATCTGTTAACATTAGAAGCATTTTTCTCAAGTTATATTTCGTGTTTAGTTATGTAAAAATGCAAATATTTTGAACTATGGAGATTTTGAAAACGTATCAGCTGTTAAATTTCACAATTTTCAAAGAGCCTTTTTATTTTAAATTTAAAAATACCAAAAATATGAATACTATTTGCATGATTTAAATCATATTTGTAATTAGTACAGTCAAAAGTCATTAATTCGGACACCCATAATCCGGAATGATCTATAATCCGCACCTCAAAGCTAAAAACTTTCTGCGCATGCGCTGCGTTGACACATGCGCATAGGCGTTTACGTGTGCGCCTAAGACCTTTACGACTGCGCATATGCGTGTGCGCAAGCGCAGAATACATTTTCGCTTGCACGTTTAATGTATAATGGACGGTATAAGCTAAAATTATCTAATTATCTATTTCAGTTAAAGTTAATGATTGCGTTGTTCCTTAATCTTCGAATTGGATGCGGTTTATTATTTTTTGCCGACTGTAAGAGCAATTTTATAAAAGTAAACTTGAACTTTCGATTATGTCAAATAGAATTTCCGATGCTGGAGCTTCCAAAGGATCTACAAAACGAAAGTATGTTTCGATGTCCGTCAAACAAAAAGTGGAATTGCTGCAAAAAATGGATAAAGACATGAAGAAGGTGACAGAGAGGTTAGTGAAAACGAAAAAATTTCGATTGACAAGTTGGTCGGTATTCTCGGCACAGCAATTACGGGACTTGAACAGCGAAACTTTGTAACTGAACAAGAAATTATGTCTGTTTATAGAATTAAAGAGAAGGTATTATCACATAAAACGAAGCAACTTAAACAACTTACATTGAAAGAAATGTTTAATAAAGTAAACAAATATTAAGCTTTTTTTTTTTTTTTTTTTTTTGTAAATTTTGATACCCTTTAGATCATAATTGTTCTTCATTTCATAAATTATGGTTTCATATTTTTAATTTTAGAATTTCTGCATGCCATCTTGCGAGATTTAAACTGATGATCGTTAATCCGGAATTGCCGAAGTCCCGACGAGTCCGGATTAACGACTTTTGACTGTAGTATATGTCTATAACCAGAATTTTCAAAAGTAAGATCTACTAAAAAGCCTTCATGGGTATGATGATTTTTTTTTAAATTTTATTTGAACAATGTTATAAGTTTTAAAAATTTACTTTCTTTTTTATGCCATTTTAGATTAAAAAAAGAAGCTTTTAAAACTGAAGTTATTTTGGCATTCAGTTTCAGTTTTATGCAATAATAAATATTTATTTTCATGAAATTGCCAGCAGAAAATATTATTTTTCCTTAAGAACAAGTGTGGAATAGTTGTACAGTTTTTATAAAGTTTTTAAGGTTAAATGTTTCATCAGGATGTTAGACTGTAATTAAAGCTTTCAACTTGCTATATTTTGTAATTTTTTTCCCTTGCATATCAACGTTTACAATAGTTTAAAGTATGGATTTTGTTATTAATATTTATTATCCATATATATAAGATTTTTTCCTCTTTCAATATAGAATATGGGAAATTCTGCTCCTCACTCTGCACCTGGAAGACTTTCAGTATTTTCACCTCCTATGCATGGAAAAATGGGTAAAAATTTGCTATTTATATATTTTTGAAAAAACATGTGTTAATAATAATTAAATTTAAAACTAAATTGTTATTAATTAACATAATTAGAACAGTTGTAAATTAATCTATTGAAATGTTTCAAAATTTTGATTGAAGGGGGTGACATTTTAAAGTTTTATTGCGTTAAATCTTCAAAATATTTGACAATTCAACTGACATTAATATTGTCAAAAATGTTATATCATATCCTGTTAAATAAAGGGGTCTATGAGGTAAAAGTTTTTATTCTAACATTAATGCTGTTAAGAATATTTTCTGCAGTTTATGTCAATGGGAAAAACAATACTTTTGCATTATCCACCCAACCCAGTTGCCAATTGTTGGTGACTACTTTTTTGGCAACCTAGCATGTAAAAAACAGTAGCCATTTCAAAAAATGGCAGTGCACTGAAAATTTCACAAAACAGCAACATATCCATAATGAAGCACTGAAAACAACCCATAATCATATCCATAATGAAGCACTAAAAATTACGTAACATAACATCCATAATAAAACATTGAAAATTACACAGAACAGCAACAAATTAGCTAAAGCAAAAATACAACAAATATCCATAATAAAACACTTTCTAGCTTTCTTTTTTCCTGGTCTTCTTCTCATGTGCACAGCAATCTGTTTAACTTCAGATCAATCAGAGAATTACAGATTTCTTGGCATTGCAGAGCAATTTGACGCACAGCTCTCCATGTACGTATTGACCTGTTTTAACTTTAAAAAAATTAGAGAATTATACATATTCAGAAAAAGTTATTATCGCAACCTAAGACCAGTTCATAAACTATTTCAAACTGCAAGATTTCTATAATAATATAACATCAGAGATAAATAAAAACTAGCCAAATGCATAATTTAAAATGCACTTTATTACTTTAACAATAATAACACAAATCAATTTGGACAATATTTACATTTCTGAAGTCGGTGAATACTGTTCATCTATCTGCTTTAACATTTCTTTAAACAATCTTTTTGTTTTCCTTCCTAACATTTTCACCAAATGAATTCCCCAAGATAACTTGAAAGTTGACGGCTTGGTGTCCTTTCTTCCTTTTATGTATTTATACACTGAACAGATCCCCATAGTCTCTCCATATTTTACATGTGCATGACTCTTAGGAGATTTGTAAAAGAGTATTTATGATTTAATTTCCAATTATCATAAGCAGCTCACTTAAGTTCTTTCGTACTGTAGCCTGTACAACCTATCTGAAAAGACTGTACTTCTTTCAGCAATATGCTTTTTGATTTTGCTCATAAGTGTTGCCATGCTGCAATCAGGAATAAGAAATAAAAATTTTTCCTGACATTCCCTTTAAATCCCTCCAAAAATTCCACTGCTGCTGAAGAACATAACCCACACTGCATGTCTTATAACTAAACTTTAATATTTTTCAATGATGCATCCATTGACACCAGTTTTTCTACAATCTTCTTTTTCTATACTAGACACACACACACACGTCTCACAGATAATTAGAGACATATCAAATTCTTCACTGCCTGATGTATATTTTTTATGTAGTATTTTAGACCAGCAATAAATAAAGCAAACAGCTGTCGTAAGCAATATTTGGCTATCTTCGAACCGATTTCCTACTTGCATTGAAACACTTTGCTGGCAATTTTTAACAATACATTTCCATGCAATTTGATTATTTGTAATATATAACTTCATGGAATATGCATTCATGTGCTCTCTACTACTAGGTAAAAGCCATATTTCTGAAAAAATGCAGCACTTTCTTTTTCATCAGCTGGCAAACTTCACGTTGGCATTATGATTCATAACAAGAAAAAAACATTTCCGCACACTTATCACAAGCCGAAACTACAAATATAACACTCAAATTTCAAAACCACTCACATTGCATGCTGGTGTAATGCATATGCAACCATCAGTGGATTGTCAGAGAAAATATATTTTCATAAAATTCTGATTACCTATTTTGGTAACATAGTGCTTTGCCTAGGGATTCTTGTCACGACTGAGCAAATAATTGGACCATACTGAAAAAACTGGTGTGTCATATTCTTAAAATAAGCTTCTTGAAAATAAAGTTATTTTTCTTCCCTGTTTTAGAAAAATTAGTTTTAATGATGCAGGATAACAACCTCTTTCCCATTATTATTGATCACTTTGAGTTTTATTATATCCAATACCATATATATCAAGTAGATTTATTTCAAAGTAGTTTAACTTCTACTCATGTCTGATTTTTGATAATTTCTTGGTGTTAGGAAAAAAAAGGTTGTTCTGACATGATCTGCAAAATATTAGATTATTAGAAAAATATTAGGGATTGCTAATGTGACAAATTATTTCAGATGTCTTCTATGTGCAAGTAGCTTTATGGGAAAATATGTAAGAACAATATAATTTTATGAAAGAAATTTTTTTTAGATGAATATTGTAATGTGAGACTCATTTTTATCTTTTAAGCAGTGAATTATATCTTAATGTCTTATGCGTTGAAATCTGGCCAGTGAATATTAAAAGAAATACTGAATAGGAAAAAAAAAAACCATTTATTTACAGAGAGAATTTTTAAGGAAAAGTCATTTTTCTCCTATCATTTAGCTGCGAGTTGTACATATATCCTTAGTGGATCCTCAGTTGTATATCCTTAATTGTAATCCTAAGCATATTTTAAGAATATATTTTTAGATTCTGAATGTAATTCATTTATATATTGTGTTTTGTACTCTTTGTTGCATTAAGCATGCATGATAATGCATGTGCATTGTTTTAGTATTTAAAAGCCTTAAAACATAAATTTTATTTTAGGTGTCATTCCCAGCCCTGAAACTCCCTCTCCTTCCTCAGCAATAAGAAAATTAAAGTATGTATTTTCCCCCTCTGTTTATTATCTAAAATATAGTTTGTTATTGTTATTGTCAGAGGACTTTTTTCAGGGGGGCTGAAATTGTGCTACTGATATCACTAATGAATATTTTTTATTTTAAAATTTCAGATCTTCTTTGCTATAGGATAACATGGTGTGGAATTTTTAGTTGCTTCAGTAAACAAAGAATTGAAATAGAATGGCTTATTTCAAAATTTTTTATTAATGATATTTAGTTTGTAATCAAGAACATTGGTATAAAAGATAAGAATAATATGTTTAATTAATAAATCCTAATGAGCAAAAATATCAGCTAAGAATTATACAGTTAAATTTTCCTCTCTATTCCAAGCATCTCCAAATAAATTCATTTAAGTAACAGTTAAATAAAGTGTACTTTAGCACATATATCTTTATGTTAACCCTTTGCGGCTCAGTGTTTCACTACATGGAACACCCAAATTGAATCACTTCTGAAACCTTTAAATTCAACCGTAAATAGATAAAAATGCCTTTATAATATACTTTGAACTTTTCTTTTTAAACAGTAGATAGCAGCATATCACAAGGAGACACATACTTTTCATTTATTATGTGTTATTAAAATCCACTTTTTTTCAAGTAATTTTCTCTATTTTTTAATGATATAAAAAATTTTATTCGGAAAAAAAAAATAGGCATAATTTTGCAGGCTGTACTCCAAATTATTTTTTCTATATTTTTTTTTTATCTTTCGTACAAAAACCATACGCAGAATCATTGAATAAAGCTGGGTGTTCCGTTAGCGGGAACACTGTGCCTTTAGCGATCTCATGCTGTTACGAATCAGAACATCCGTTGTTTACGTTTTCTGTTTCCGTTGTTTTTTTGGGGGGGAACGAATTCACACAAAGCAGTATTGAGGGATGAGGTGTGTTTTGTGTTATGAAAGCCTTAATATTGGCATCTTGGATTTTTTGGGAGTAGTTTTTAGGCGGGAATTTAATAGTAACTTGACTCATCTTTACTTAGACTTGCGCGAATTTTTTGCTGTCGCTTTTTAGTCTCATTCCCATTTATTTTCAATAATTGTGTAGATATTTTTCTTGTATGTATATATTATAGGCTTATTTTTCTTTATTGGTAATATTAATCGTAGTTAATTTTTTTTATTATTAATTTTCCATAAATGGTGCGGAGAGGTCTAACTCTTTTCGAAGCGCTAAAAGTGTTTCATGAATTACCCTTGGATTCTGAATCAGAGCGTAAGGATAGCAGCGATACTGAGGTATACGCTCCTGAACCACTTGTGCAATCCGATGATGATATGTCAGATGAAACTCATTTATCTGATGAGGAGGTTGATGATCCCTCTCAGCCAGGCCCCTCTACACAGCCTCAAGTTCCTACTTGGAATTCTAAACAGAAGTTGCAAAAGTTACTTCCGGAATTTACACGGATAAGTGGGCCAAATGCAAAGCTATGGGAATTACCTGAGAAAACACCATTAGCAGTGTTCCAAGAGATTTTTTCACTTCAGCTGATGGAACACATAGTTTTCCAAACAAATCTCTATGCGACACAAAAATGTAAACCTTTGTCACCACTCACTTTAGTTAAATTATACATATTTCTGGGAATCAATCTGCTGATGGGCATAAAGAGGATGCCGAGTTATAAGGATTTCTTGGCAAATAATGAAGCCCTTGGAGATGAATTCATTTGCTGTTATATGTCATGTAGAAGGTTTTCATGGATTCTCGGCAATTTGCACCTATATGACAACGTGCTTGAGCCAAAAAAGAACGATGTAAATTTCGACCGTCTGTATAAAGTGCGGCCATTATTAGATTATCTGTCTAAGAGTTTTTTAGATGCTCTGCATCCTAGTGAAAATCAGTCGATAGATGAGTCGATTATCAAATTCAAGGGGCGCAGCACAATCAAACAATACATGCCCAAGAAACCAATAAAACGTGGTTTCAAAGTATGCATGAGGTGTGATGAGAGCGCTTTTGCATCCCAGTTCAAGATTTATTCAGGCAAAAAAGAAGTTGTAGAGAAAAATCTGGGCGAGAAAGTGGTGAAAAGATTGACAGAATGCCTGAATGGCAAAAATCACCAGGTATTCATGGACAATTATTTTACGACATACGAACTTTTTCGCTACTTGGAAACCAAAAGTATATATGCCTGTAGAACTGCCATGATAGGCAGAAAAAATTTACCCAAGTCTCTGCTTGCCCAGGACAAGGAGTTGAAAAGAGGGGAATTTGACTGGGCTGTCAGTAATGACAATCTAACTTGCCTCAAATGGAAGGATAAGAGATGTGTCACAACCCTGTCTTCCCTTCCTGATGCCGTTGATCAAATTCAAATTGAACGAAAAGAAAAAGACGGCACAAAAGTAAACATAAATTGCCCAAAAGCAATTTCAACTTAGAATATGAAAATGGGATTCGTAGACTGTTGAGATATTTGTAATCGCATTCTTACTGGTTAAAAGGAAGTATAGCTTTCTGTCACGTCCGAAACATTCATTAGCTTTCAGCCAGGTTCGAGTTATTCTGAAACTTAATCCCATTCTGTATGTTAATTTTGATTAGTTATTTATTGTGTCTTGTTTATGATTTGTTAAACCATGATCTGTTATAAAGTTATATATATGACCTCTGTAACCGCTCATCCTTGCTTGTACTTACTTATTTGCTTGTATTTATCATTACTTGTATTATTCTGCTTGTGCTTATCTCTGCTTGCATGTAACTCTGTGTGTATCTCTGCATATCTCAGTAATAAATATTTGCTTTGTGAACCACGGCATTTTCTATGTTTAACAGCAGAGCGTGGTTCCTTCAAAAGTTAGAATTTGCTGATATTTTCCCTAATTGAACCTTCAGTGTAATAATTTATCATTCGCGTGATTTTGATTTGGTGTATCGTGAATGATGGCTTTTTCCGGAGGTGAAAGGGAAGCTTTTGGTGTAGCACCATTTGACGGTGTTAATAACTTTACTGTTTGGTGTCGAAGAGTTTGAGCAGTATTTATGGCAAGAGAATTGGATACGTTTTTGGAAACATAAGCAGTTGCAAACAGAGTTGCAGATGTTTTGAAATCAAAAAAGGCTTATGCCTTAATACTTGAGCTTCTAAGTGATAATGTTATTGCTTCTCTTCAACGTGAAGACACAGCATGTAAAATATGGAAGAACTACAGGCTACGTAAAACGCTAAAGGTGCAGTGAGTCAAATTTTAATGCGTAAACATCTAGCTACCATAAGGAAATCCAAGGATGTGTCAATGAGACAGCATAATGAACTTGGTGAGTAGTCTACGCGTCTCTGGCTCTGAAGTAAGTGACTTTGATATTATTATTTACATTTTAAAGTGTTTGCCAAAGGAATATGAAAATATTAAGGCATCTCTAGAAAATCAGCCAAGCAATAATTTGAGTTTAGATTTTGTTATAAGTAGACTTATTGATTGTGAATCTCTTATGTTTGATTATAAAAATGAAAATAAGTATTCTAAACCAAATACAGATAACTCTGTTTTTATTAGTGCTCATAAAGAATTGTTTTGTACTTATTGTAAAAGAAAAGGACATTCTGTTAAATTTTGTAGAAAAAAGAACTGCGTCTGTCATAACTGTGGGAAAACTGGTCATTTCAAAAGTGAATGTTTTGATAATTCTAAAAAGCAGGCAAATTCATGTAGCAATAAGTATGCATCTCCTGCAATATCTTTTATGGCTGGAAATCTTGTGCATGATCAATTTATTATTGATTCTGGTGCAACTTCTCGTACGTCTTCTCACAAGGAATGGTTTACCTCAATTAAGCCTAAGACTGGAACTGTCAAGTGCGCGTCTAAGTCGGCGGTTTTAGAAGTGGAAGGAATTGGTGATATTTGCGGTAAAACTAAGAATGGTGTTGAAATAATGTTAAAAGATGTTCTTTACATTCCAAAATTAAATGGGCAATTAATTTCTGTAAAAAATATTGAAGCTGCAGGTTTGAGCGTAATTTTTAAAAATGAAATAGTTTACATTGAACACAAAAACAAGCGTTTTGGATTTGGATATTTGGACAAATGTGGGCAATATTTTAGTGATTTTTCACCAAATATATTTACAGCTTTATCAGTAAAGAATGATGATTTATGGCACAGAAGATTTGGACACTGCTGGGATCAAAAATTAAAACTATTGAATCTTCCTGCAAAAGAATCCTTTTGTGAAGTATGTGTTCATGCTAAACAAAGTGCTTTGCCTATAGGAAAGGGTGCTCGCATAAAAGAATCCAAACCGCTTATAACTGTACACACTGATATATGTGGTCCAATAGAACCTCAAACACTCCATGGGGAAAAGTATTTCATGAATATAATTGATGACTATTCGCGATTTATGGAAATCAAACTGCTCAAAAGAAAAGTGACATTGCTAATGAACTGAAGCTATTCTTTAAATTGAATCCAACTGTTAAAAAACTGCGCTGTGACAATGCCAAAGAATATGTCAGTGGAAAATTGCATGAAGTTGCTAAAAGAGCAGGTGTAAAAATAAATCCTGCACCTCCCTATACACCTTTTATAAATGGTGTTGCTGAACGAGCAAATAGAACTGTACTGGAAAATGCTAGAGCAATAATATTTGAAGCAAAATTACCAAAATTCCTTTGGGGTGAAGCAGTACTTACGGCTGCTTACATAAATAATCGACTTCCAAATAGTTCAATTGAAAATTGTGTTCCTTATTTTCTGAAGTATGGTGAAAATCCTGATTTAACAAACATGTGCGTATTTGGCTGTGATGCTTATACTCTTGTGCCAACATCGCAAAGAAAGAAACTAGATGAAAAATCAGTCAGAATGATATTTGTAGGTTATTCCACAATGGGATATCGTTTAATGATTCCAGAAACAAGACTCATCATTGTTTCCAGAAGTTTTAAATTTAATGAAAAAAAGAAGAAAGTAGAAAATCAAAAATATATTTCCGATAGTTCTGATTTGAGTGAAAATGACAATGATAACATTAAAAAATGAAGACAAATCAATTTCAGACACTGATAACGGCGAATTAAATCCTGCAAATAAGAAGGAGGAACAAAGAAAGTTTTCAAGAGAAAAGAAACAGCCAGTTAGGTATCCTGATCCTGAGATTTACCAAGTAATGTTTGCACAAGACACTCTGGTATTTGAAGATATTGCAAATCTACCACAAGTAGAACAAGAACCATGGAAAAGAGCTATGGACGAGGAAATGAAATCTATGGAAGATAACGACGTCTGGGACCTACAAAGTTTACCCCCTGATAAAAGAGCCATTTCCTGCAAATGGGTTCTACGTAAAAAACGAGATGGAACTTACAAAGCGAGGCTTGTTGCTCGTGGCTTTATGCAAAAGGAAGGCGTAGATTATACAGAAACATTTTCTCCAGTGATTAGTATGTGCTCTTTACGTTTAATCCTGATAATTATCAATAATGAAGGTTTTCAAACTTTTACTTTAGATGTCAAGACAGCTTTCTTGAACGGTAAGTTAGATGAGGTCATCTACATGGACCAGCCAAAAGGATATGATGATATGAGTAGTAAGAAATGTAAACTTAAAAAGAGTTTATACGGTCTTAAACAATCTCCTCGACAATGGTATCACAGGGTTCGTACGGTCCTTAAAAGTCCTTAATTTTTTCAAAAATGATTTTTGGTCTTTCAAAGTCCTTAATTTTTTCAAAAATGATTTTTGGTCCTTAAAAGTCCTTAATTTTGGCCAAAATGAATAAACGGTCCTTAATTTTGCTCATTTGACATTTCTTATCTTTCTAATGATTGCCATTCTCAGTGTGAATTGCGATTTCTCATGAATATGGAATTAAAATTACACGGCTCTTAACCAATCTGTTGGCGGATTTGCGTTGCAAACGATAAAAAAAAAAAAAAAAAAAAAAAAAAAAAAAAAAATTACCTAGCCTAGAACGAAAGTATCGGGTGTCTGATTGGCTATTCACCCAATGTTTTCGAAACAGGTGTTATCCATAAATTTAGGCAGATTGTGACGAAAGCGTGAAGCCGGAATGTTCTTTAAGAGGCGAAAAGTGATGATGAAGGTGCTCGAGAAAAAAAAGGGGGGGGGATTCTGAAAATATTTGCCAAAATTAGAAGCAGTCCCAACCTGGAAGGCCACAACCCTTCCGACGCCAATAGGAACGAGAATGCCTGGAAAGTGCATTTTCAATAAGCTGTGGTCCTCATCAAGCTGACTACAAAGACTGGATATTGATGGATGACAAATCCTTTATAAAGCTAAATGTGGTCTTTGTCTGAAACAAATTGAAATTTCTAGAATGGGAGAGTCAGCGCTGAAAATTCACATGAAAATTAAGTTTCGTTTTATCATTTCAATTTGTTTTTACGCGGTTTTGCTTAGCTTAATTTCTGTGTTTGTTTCAATTAAGCCATAAATTAACTTTTTATCACCTTCTCTACGGAGTTTATTCTCTTTTGCGCATACTATATGTATGGGATATCGGGATTATGAGTTTTATTTCAGCAGCTTGTCTGTTATCGATTTCGCGAGAAATCTGTTGGCTCCATTTTCGATTTTAGGTTGCCAAGGGCAAATTCGGTAACGCTAGCCGAGAAAAAGTTCTAGATCAAAGTCGAATCACTCATAATCCAAAAATGAGATGCATGGCCTGGAGGGTTTTCCATAATTTTAATTAAAACTTAATATTTACATATATACCAATGTAGGCTAAAATGCCTGAATCGAATATTTAATGCTCAAAAGGAACTGAATAAATTCCAGCTAAGGAATCTAATAATCGAATTCTATTGCGTAGTGCAGTTCGAAATTCTACCTTCAAGAAGCCTAACTCCTCAAATCAATTTTTTCAAGTCACGTTTTCAGAAGGGGAAAGGTTAAGTAAGCCAATAGGTGGACTCCTAACGCCATCTCTTGGCGATATCAAAGAATATTCCTTAACACACTTCCCACCTGAACTCTGACAAGAGTTCATCTAACTCAGTTATACATACAATCAAGTACATAAATCACTATTCTATAAAAATATTAAAAAATACTAATTAGTCAAACACTTCAATTCCAATACAGGTTATACACTTCATGTATCAAATAATAAATGTTATAACTAATAAATGAACTAAATTTTAAAATATTTTCCACTTAACTGAACAAACTTAACTAACGATATTCAATTTAATCATTAATAGACAAAAAAGGAAAAAAGCATAACTAAATCGTTAAAGTTCAAAATATCTAAAGTTCAAGAGGATATAGATGTTGAACAGTACGTTTTTAAAGTCCCATTACCAGTTTTTTAATTCGAATGATCGGACTTTACCATCACGTCCAGGAATAATTTTTTATGATTCTACCAAGTTTCCATAAGAGTTTGTTTTTATTATCTCCTTCG